CTCATAGATCAGACCTGAAACCACTTCATTATTATCCAGTCATGTTTAGATGGCAAAATTTTCCCTGAAAAAGAGTTTAAAAAATGTTTTCAGTTGTTGACTTTATTCACAACTGCAATTTCAGTATATTGCATTGTATTCATTTAAAGGGTTCGGCTAGTTTAGCACGCCCGGTGTTTATATTCAACCTACCAGAACCAGTGTGTCCTAACATTTTTGAGTTGTCACCCGCCTGTTCAAAAATCGCCACTTTTTTCAGCCATTAATTAACTTGTCTAACAAAATTTTTACATCATTTTCTTAAATACAGATTGGACAAACCACACCTTTTTAAGCAGGTTTTCATTTCAAATACCCGTTCTAATCGTAAATTAGCAACTTAAATTTGGCATAATTTTTTAAAATCACTTGGTTTGTAAAGTTTTTTGATTTTTAACTTTTGTAGGGAAAAACGCCCTAAAAAACAAATAAAATTAATCATATCAAATAAATTAATTAATATCAAATGAAACAATCAAATAAAATTAATCATGCTTTGCAACCGCCAGTGAATAAAGTTTTAGTGCAGGAAGAACAAGTTTTTCTCAAGGCTGGAACTTTTCAGAAACATGATTCAACCACTACTGAACAGCCTTACTATGGTGTACCAATCAAACTCATTTGACGCTAAATTAAGCCTTTTGTTTTTCTAGGAAAGAGTATGTGTAAAATGAAACAATAAGATTCAAAAATACAAAAATTTACACGCTTTATTTGATTGGAAAGACAAAAAACTCGCGCTATCACTTTTCAAATTTAATGTGCGACACCGACGCGTCTTTTTTAGCTCTTCTTAAAATTGATATTTTTCAGAAAAATATTTGAATAGAAAGATTTTGAATTCAAGCTATTTATTTTTCTCAAAGTAAACGTATTGATCGTTTTTCTTTGGTGCAACAAATAACCTAACTAGTCCCAAAGGGGTGGGACTAGTTTGAATATACACTTCAAAATAAATAGTTAGATTTACGCTTCAATTTACCTTGGCTAAAGCAAGTATTACGCTTCAAATTAGAAAAAATAACTTTTTAGTTGTATGCAAGCAAATCAAAATGCAATTTTGATTTATTCAAAAAAAGATTCCAAATGCATTTGTTGTTCTGACCATTAAAATGGGTAGGAGCTTTGCACTCGAGTGTTTTAGTTTTTTCTACTTTTTATTTTCCACGCAAAAAGGGGTACCGCAAAAAAATCACCGGAATGAGTCAAGTGACATATCAGTTTAGATCCATTGTAATCTTGGTTTGAATGACATTGAAAAATTCCAAAAATTGTTTTCAATGTCAAGAAAAATCCGGTCTACAACTTTTCATTTTTTGTGTAACTTCGAAAGTAAAGCGAGAAGCCATGCATAATTAAAATTTTTTAAGACCGTTCAAAATAGCATAATTCTTCCGAATTTTCGTTTTATTTAGCTAAAATTAGTTTTTTTTTGATTTTTCAAACGCCGTTCCAAGAAAAAAAACCTGCAAAAAATTATAAAACTTCAAGTTTTTTTAAATCTTGTTTTTTTTTTGTTTTCTAGTCAGTTTTCTTCAAAAACTGTTGTGTTGTTTCAGTTTGCCTATTTTACTACGAGGGTCAAATATGCTTAAATTGTAGTTTTCAATTTATAAACGTTTTCTACGCTATAAAACTAAAAATTGTGTTTTTTGAGATCTTGGATGGTTGCTGAAAAACATTTCAATAGATCTTAAAAGCAAATCTTTACTGTTATAAATCATTTTAGTGTCATACTTGACACAACTCTATTATCATTCAGTGATTTTTAGATTGAAAATTTATTACAGAATAAGAAAAAAGAACTTTTTTGTGCTCATTTTCTTAAAAAGTTAAAATGGGTACTGCATTGTGTTCCGTTGTAGCGTTTGGCTACTTTAGCAGGTCCATCATTTCTGTTCAATCTACCAGTGTGTCCTGTTCTTTTCGAAATTTTGTTCAATTATCGGCCGTTTTACTTTAAGCCAGGAGGGAAAAAATTGAACTTTTTAGAAGCTATTGCAGACTGGTGATAATTAAACTCTTATCGACAAAGAGTCAGCGCAGTTGTAAAAAAAGCAGTTATTTACTGCTAGAGAAACTTGATTTTTACATAAATAATTTCCATTTTTTGTGTTAAATAGAATAATTTTTTCACAAATTGAGACCAAGTCTCAAAATAAGCGCAAAAACTTTAGCGGGCGCCAAACGATGTTTGGTTTGAAAATACCTTAATTGATTAGAAACTAAAAAACTATCAAATAAGTGTAACTCAAATAAAATCAACAAAAATCAAGACCTTATGAAAAATTAATGGTTTCAAAAAACTGATTTAAACTGTTATAAAGATAATACACTACAAATATTGAAACAAAACAAAAATTTGAAATTTTGTTTAACGCAAAATAAAATCCTTAAAAGTATATTTTTTCCAAAGTTTTGAAAGTTGTGAAAGCCCAAATTTTTTTGGTTATTTAACAAATTTTGGCAATATTGCGATTTCAATTGCAATAAAAATGGTTTTTCTTTCTTCCAGGATAAACCGTAATTTGTAGTTTTTTTTCGTAGGGGAGTACAAATATTAGATTCAAAATCTATTGTCTGTTATTAATTAAGTAGAAATTATATACTTTCACATTCAAATTTGGGAAATCAATCAATTTAAAAAAACGTGTAAGAAAGCCTACAAAACTGAAAACAGAAACAAAAAGAATCGTTATTTTTACCAGTTGTTAAGTTTTATTTTGTGAAACAGTTTTTTATAAAATGACTTTGACAAGTTTTTTTAACTCAGTTTTCCTATTTAAAATTTTGAATTTCAGCTTGAGCTACAACTCCAATTTTGGCTGAAAATAATTGAAAACTAAACAAGTAGTTCCGCTCCAGGCTTCATTTTCTTACAAAACAATTAATTTTTGGCTATTCAATCAAGTTACGGCAAAACTTCAATTTTTTCATGAATTAAATCAATAAAGTTAATGAGGGATGTAAAATTTTTTCTTGATTTATGAAGCTTTTGTTAGCCAAAACAACAGGCAACTGCTGTACAGTTTGGTGCGGAAATTGCGATCTCAATTTTTTGAAAACTTTCTCCATAAGCATCCCTTGAATCGGTCCTGAAATTAACAGTCAGCCCAATTTTAGTAAAATCGTGGAACTATGTACAAACTTGACAAGCAAAATTAACAGATTACAAAATTTTTCCATGAAAGATTGTTTTGCAAAATTGAGTTCAAAAGTTAATCAATTTTTCTTCAGATTTTTTGTGTGTGATGCTAGGCAAAAAATCAAGCTTAAAAAAATAAACAGCATAATAATAAACAAACAATAGATTTATACGAGAAGACCCGAAAACTATTTCTTGTTCCGATCAATAAAAATGGGTGAGAACTTTGTACTCAGGTTGTTAATCATTTTTCTAATTTTTCCATGCAAAATTAGGTACCACAAAAAAAGAAACAAGTTGTCTAATTTTTAAAGCTCTTTTTTACTTGATTTGAACATTTAAGAAGTTCAAAAAATATTTCCAGCATCGAGAAAAATAGTTTCAATTTTTTATCGATTTTTTGTTTAATTTCGAGTGTAAAGCAATCTTGTATTTTATAAAGTAGTTTATGATCGCAGAGTCTATTTTCTACGCTTCTGACTCGTTTTGGATTATAAACAAAACAGCATAGTGTTCTTGTAATAAACAAAAAGTTTGGGCAGCAAATTTTTGCTTTCCAACCGAACCGAACTAGTTGGTTTAAAAGTCGCACAAAGCTTTCAAATAAATAAAAATTTCTAGAAAATTATTCGGTTAGATAATTTTTAGTTTTTTCTGGCCTTGCGGTATAATCAGCAAAACATCTAATGAGAGCAACGTTTCTTGCTTTTTCGATCTTAAGATTTAATTGTAACAAAGGTTGTCTGAGCATGACAAAGCCATGGATGTATCTGATCACCCGTATTGTTTTTGGATATTCGTTTGAGCCATCATAGCTGAACTTCGACAGGCGCAAATAAAGTAGTCCAACAAATAAGCGAAATTGCCATTTTTGAAGTTCTCACAAAATTTATCTTAAAATTAATTACAAAAATCAGTAAATAATAAAAGTCTGGTGAACTACTAACCTAAATTTTAGCTCAAAATTAAATAAATCTTTCCGTCGGTAAAACAATGAATGGCTGCTTAGCAGGTACTTGATTATTTTTTTTGAAAAATTTGCAAAAAAAAATACCTCAAGTTTTTTTTTTTTGAAAAATACTACAGCCTAAAATTTCAGAAAATAATGGTAAGCTCAATTATTTAATTTTTCAAATATTTAAAGGCCAGCTAAAGGTGAAAAAACGTTTGATTATTTTTTGTTTTGATGCGAAATGACCCGGGTAATTTTAAAAACAGATCTATAGCAAAAAAAGTAAATCCCAATATAATGACTTTAAAATTTTCAAAATTTATCATTTTTTTTTCAGTTTTCAATAATCGGTCAAAAAATGGACTATTTTGAGGTCCATAACTTTGTTTAAAAAGTTGGGCATAGCCGCTTCACAACCTGTTCTATCCATTGAACTAAAAATCTGATTTGGGTGGGAAGTTTTTGGAAAATTGTAAAAATCCGGTTCAAAAATTCCCCAAAACATTTTATGAAGGCTGTAGAAAGTGGGGTGAGGTAAACAGAATAGGGGAGTTGACAGGCACACAGATGTGTTGAAAATCTGTACAGTAGTTAAAGAGAAAAATGAAAGCCTCTCAAAAAAAATAAAAAACCCAATCCCAAACGCCATTTTCATAATACCTGTTTTTATCGAAGAAAAAAAGCAGAACGAACATAAAACCTTTTTCGTCCTAAAATTGAGCAAACATTTTTTGAATTTTTAACTCTCCAATTGTTGACTCTCCATTCACATGTTCTCTATTCACAGCTATCGCGATCAAAAAATCACGTCGTTTGGTCCGAAAAATAGTTTTATGGCGGAAAGTCTAGTATCTGATAGAAACACACTTGCTATAAAATTCAGATTTCAAATTCATTCAACCATAAAGGCTATTACAAAATAAAACGAGTTTTGATAACATTTCAAGTCATTAATTAATTTCAACGAGTTCATGGATGCCAAGGAGCAGCTTCATTTACTATGCCCATGTGCTCTGAGAGCTCTCGTCTCGTAGTTTCGATCAAACTCTTCAAAAGCTGCTTGCCTGAACTCAAACAGACCTGATCCTTGGCGCGAATCAAGAAGTGCAAGGGCAGATTTGAGTCTGTATCAGTAATTGCATCGTGGCCTTTTGCTGAACCACGTCCTCTGAGACTTATCTCGGAACCCGATTCCGCTTCAATGTAGTTCACGTTGACGTTGTTCAGTCCTCGGAGTTTGTTCACGAGGTTAAACGTGGGTGGCACGTTATTTATGCCAACCAACAATCTGTCCTCAAATGGTTGAACACTAATTAACTGACTTTCGGCAACAGATTGAATTGCACTTAAAGTTGGTCTTGTTGGAGGTTGTAGAAATGCCGGTTGTGGTAACAAGTTCGTCGCCTTGTGTGAAAAACTGATAGCATGATTGTGATTCATTCTGACTCCCGGAGATGCTATTGGATCTGGACATATTGTCGTAGGAGGCATTTGTCCTGACGACTGAGCCGAAACTGGAGGCGCCACACTACAACTCTGTTTTGGAGAATGACTCTGCATTGCAGTTGTGATTGCGGTCGAGAGAAGATTTAAAGCGGCTAAACAAAACTCTTGCTTCGATTAAGAAAATAATAAAACAATCAGACATGAAATACTTCATGCTTCCACAAATCTTTACACACGACGAAGCTGAACCAGATAGTTTTGAAAATTATGAAAAAATCTCTGCAGCAACACTGCAATAAAACAAGCCTTGATAGATGAAATAACCTGGACAGAAAAAACTTCTGGATAGATGATAGGTCTTCCTTTTAACGGGAAATGAACTGAAATTTAAAAAAAATTCAAACCGCGAAAATGTAAATTTGAGCCAAAACAAACTTCTTGACTTCTGAAAAAATCACCACGCCACATATATATTTTTTCTAGCAGAACATGTTAATTTCATACAACTTCTTGTTCAATAAAAACATGTCTACGAAGATTGTCATTTACAAATAATCAACTATATAAAAAAAACTCCATGCGGCACCAATTATTTAATTCTTAATTGAGAAGCTTACTAAGAAAAAATATTTAAAGAAGTAATTTTTGAAACATCATACTTATCTGTCATTTGCTACTGATTCGTGTTTCTGAAGCAGGTATGTCTTTTTTTTCTTCAAATTTCTGGTGAGATGTGACCAGTCTGATTCGTTAGAAAGTGAATTAGCGTGTAACACACCTCCGGTGCCTCGAACTTTTAACAACTCATAAAAAAATCTCTTATATTAAAATTAAAATCAGCATCCTTTTAGTGTACCCTGAGAGCACACAATAACAGGGTTTGTAGCTTCAGATTTTGTAAAGTTGTTTATTCAAGTTTTTTTTAATTCAAATTTTGAAAAACCAAAAAAATTTCCGAAGTTTTGTATAAAAAATTTCTTTGAAAAAACTTCAAACAAACTAAGAAACGTCACATTTCGAGAACTCAAAACAAAGAGCAGTCGCATTTTACGTAAGATTTGCAAATCATGAGAGTACTTTCACAAAGCCCGACTACAGGGCTAGGAATTTCAAATTGAGAAACTTTTCATATTTAAGTTTTCTAAAAACAAAACTTCAAAAACCATACAAAACTTTAAAAACTTGAGTGGTCACATTTTGATGCAAAACTTGCAACCCCTGAGAGTACTTTGGCAGCCCCAACTAAAAGGGCTAGGAATTTTGAATTTTGACAAAAAAAATGCAAGTTTTCTGAATTTTTTTTGAAAAAATAACGCAAAAAACTTCATATCACGAAAACTACAAAGATTTGAGCAGTCTTACTCGGAGGCAAGTTTTGCAACCCCTGCGAGCACTGTGGTAGCCAGTAACGACACGGTTAGGAATTTCAAATTTTCAAGAAAAACAATTAAATTTAAATTTTCTGAAAACTTTTTGCAAAAATAACAAAAACCGTCATATCTCGAAAACAACAAGGAGTTGAGCAGTCAAATATTGAGGCAAAAATTGAAGCTCCTGGGAGTACCCTGACTGCCCCAACTACAGGGATGAAATTTTCAAAATTTTTGGGACATTTTTCGAAAATTGCCGTGTCTCGTAACCCAAAAGTATTTGGTTCTTCAAAAATGGAGGCCAAAATTGCAACATCCAGGAAAACTCTGACAGCATCCCACTATTGGGTTGCTTATTTCAGACTTGGTGAAACAAACGCAGAACTCAAGTTTTTTTTTCGATTTTCTTGTTTGAGTTCTGCGTTTATTTCACCAAGTCTGAAATAAGCAACCCAACAGTGGGATGCTGTCAGAGTTTTCCTGGATGTTGCAATTTTGGCCTCCATTTATGAATAACCAAATCCTTTTAGGTTACGAGACACGGCAATTTCCGAAATTTTTTCAAAAATTTCTGGAACTTCAATTTTCAAAAATGTCCCGAAAATTCGGAATCTTAACCATTGCAAAAAACTTAAACGATATATCTTAAACGTTAAAAAAATTCTTTTGTTGAACTTGCAAAAACAATACGTGGAAAAAAGCTTAACCTTCTTGCCGATGATTGCTGGCCTTTTTTGTTGTTAGATCGACTCTGGGGTATTACATGTAGCGTTCTTTCGTTTATGCAGCTTAAGTGTTCCGTGGACAAAAACATTTCCTGGTCTTTGTTTTTTTTCTTAAACAATCGAAAGATTTCAGAAGACTCGTTTTCGTACATAATAGCTCAGCTGGAAATTTTTTTAATTTATACTAGTAAATTACGCCGCGCACTATCAAGTGTTCTGCGTAAAAATCAGACTGACTCCCCAGTTTATTTGCTTACTTATTCTGTTCAATTCTGGAATTTGTAAATTTTGTATGAAAACTGCACTATATCTGATAATGCAGCTGTGAATAAAAAATCCGATCAACCAAAGGAAGTACGTTGTTGATAAGATAAACTGAACGGATTCCTTATGCTTTTTTGCAAGGAAATTTTTTGAAAAGCTTGTTTCCAAGAAAAATCCTAGATATCTGCACGAATTTGAAATTATAATTTCGTGAGAATTATGAAAAACTGAGTACGTATAATTTTTTCCTGTGTATAAAAAAGTTCTGTTTTACCTGAATTCAAAGTCAGACGATTCTTTTTCGAGCAAACATCGATTTTATCTAGCATTTTGTTGTGTTTTCTTGCGATTATTTTGGAAATGTTTGTTCCACTATTAGACTGGTATCATCTGCAAATTGAATAGCTTGATTTTGACTATTTTAAACCGAATGGAAATCATTAACAAAAAGGATGAAAACTATTGATCCGAGAACTGTCTCAATTGGCACTCCATGACACAAAATTCCCATACAAAAGTTCTATTTGTCAATTTTACTTCCTGGTGGCGATTTATCAGAAAGTTTTCGAAAAGGGTTATAGTCGTTTTTGAGATACCTATTTGTTCAAAAACTTTGCAGAAATTATCATACGATATTGGGTTGAACAACTTAGCGAGATCTTTAGAAAACAGTTGAGTTATCTCTACTGCCACCATTAAATTCTAGTATTTCCTTTAAAAAAATTAAAGCGTCGAGGGAAGATTTCTTTTTTTTTCATTCGATTTCAAATCTTGTTTTGTCTATATAATCAAGTAATTGTGTTAATAAAATTCCTTCATAGAGCTAGGAAAATTTAGTGGTCACAAAAATCGGCCGACAATTTTCCGCTACTCATTTCGTTTTTTTTATAAATCGGAGTAACGTCCGCTTTTTAGCTCATCTGGAAATTTATTCGAATTGATGCAGGGTTAAAGAAATTCCCTGGTAAGAAATAAACTAGAATTCAGGCCAATTACCAGAAATGAAGTATTTCAGTCAGTGGATATTTTTATAAGTAATAAAGATACTGGTTCTATGAATATACCATTATAGAGCATCAAGTGTTCAAAACTTAGGTAAACACCTACAGTTCGTTTATTACGATAAGTAGGTGTTTACCTAAGTTTTGAACACTTGATGCTCCATAATGGTAGATTCATAGAACCAGTATCTTTATTACTTATAAAAATATCAACTGACTGAAATACTTCATTTCTGGTAATTGGCCTGAATTCGAGTTTATTTCTTTACAGGGAATTTCTTTAACCCTGACTCGTAAACAAATTCTGCTTTGTATTTTCCAAGTTCTGAGAACACTCGTTTTTACGTATTTGCCATATGATTTTGATTAGCTAGTTATTCGCCTGAAGGAGAATTTAAAGAACTTATTTTTGTGTGTGTATTTCTTTTCCTATTTTTGATTTATAAAAGCTTGTTTTTTGATATTTAGGATTTTTTATATAACTATGCAGTAATTCTTCTCAGCGTTTTCCAAAAAACGATCCACAAATTATCTTTGTTTGTTAATAAGTACTTTCTCGTAACTGTTCGATCACTTTTCAATTAAGGAATAATCGATGTTTTTCATTGATCATCTGCTTTATATAGTTTGTTAACCAGGGTTTCTTTGCTTCAATGTTATTCAATCTAATTTTTGCGAAATATAGGAGAAAAATTTTCCAAATTACCATTGATTATATCTATAAAAACGGAAAACAAGCTTGGTAAATCTGTTTGTTGGTACATAAAAATCAAAAATCTTTGTTAAGTCCCACCTCGAGTTTTTTTCTAATCTCTAAAAACCAAAATATATATTGTTTGTCATTACTGATACTCAGGTTGAATTTTAAAGTCAGCAAAAAATTGTCACTAATCATGGGATATTCACAACAATTCAAAATAACAGATCTGGTTTTTCGACATAAAACAATGATAAAGGAGCGAATATGATATATCCAATCTCGTGGGAGTATCAAAATTGATACGTTTGATTCCATGATTTGCCCCGAAACTGTTCAACTTGGTTAAGGCTTTGGTTTCATAAAACATCCACGTTATAATAACCAAAAATCAAAACTTCATCTGATGCTTCAGATGCCGCCGATATTTCTGATTTTGACATTAGGTTAGTTCATCTAGAAAAAAGCAGTTATTGGGACATAGTTGAAATATTTCTAGCCATGTTGATTTAAAAAATTTTTTCCTTGTGATTAGGTCATCCATTTTTTTCACGATCTAGTTTTTAGGGGCTCATGAACTTTGCATGTGTGTGTGGTAAGAACTTAACTTGGGACAGGGAAACAGTTTCTGTTACTTGATTTTCATCTTGCCAAGTTTCAATGACAATGAAAAAACGATTCTCCGGTAAAATTTCCAAAAAACGTTTTTTATTTCATTTTGTTTAAAAAATCTGTTTTTTTTCCAAGTTCAACTGATCCAATAATATTTCAAATGTTTGAATGGCTCTAAAATTCGGAGATCATGGGTATACTTGATCTGATAACATGAAGCGTTTAGGTTGATAAAAACTTCCTAGAATAGAAGTAGTAGGTGCCTATAAGAGTCTATATAATATTAACAAAACAATTGTTTCTGGAATTGAGAGGCGTAAGTTTTAAGTTAACTATTATGAGGCCTAAAATTATTATAGAAAAAAAATAAAATTTGGTTCATTTTTCTAATCGCACTCGTTTTTTTCTGTTCTTTTTTTCTCAACTCAAGCGTTAGTGCATGAAATTCTGAGTGTAAGGTTGATAAGTATTATGCATAGGCATTCGCCGAAGATTGGAAGAACTATAACTCCCATTTTGTTTTGGCATATAACGCCCATTTTCTTTTGGTATTTGAAGATATACGAGTTTGAACTACATTCACCGATTCTTAAACAGAATTATTTCTTTTCTCGAATATCATTTAACTTTTAGAATTGTCATTCGGTTAAATGCACATTTGAATCAATTTTGGATTCAAATAAAAAATTACACGCTAATTAAACATTTCTTTCTGCTACAAGAAAATCAATACTTCGGTTTGATTTTCGAGGGACAATGGTTCTCACCTTCAACTGAATTGATATTCTGTGCAGTGATGTCCAAATAGAGTGCCCTGAATGGCAAACTTCTTCCGGTGGAGGTGAAATTGGCTTTCTGTTCACTCGAGAAGTACTTTCCTTTCACAGTTATATGCGCCCCTGTCAAAGAGCCAAGTTGGCAGTGGAATTGACCTGCAATAATAAAGTCTGTTTATTTAACGCAGATGCTTCATTAACAGTTTAGATGTAGCATCCCGGAGTAGTTTTTGTTTTAGTACAGAGTGAAATCGTTTTTCGCCCGGATAGGTTCATGCAACCCTGATTAGGAGGGCTGGCGTGGCTGTGATTGCATGTTTAAACGCCAGCCGGAAGGTTTAGGATAAACTTATAGCTCTTTTACCTTTTGCAGATAAATTATCTGGTTGTATTTGGAGCTACATAATAATTAACACGGTGGGCAAGGCTACCGGGTCAGGTCGGTGTAAGCAGACTAAAGGGGGTTGATCCCTAGCGTCAACCGTCTTCCTATTTAACTTTTGTTTATTTTCTAATCGTTTCCAATTTATTCTCTATTCTTTAACATAATATTCTGATTTCGCTGTTTCGACTTTCGAAGAAAGTGACGGAATACTTGTGCACGAAGTGGTGTTTTTTCTCCAGACAGATTTCGACTTTTTAACTAGCAATTTTTGACGCAGTTTTTCTTTAAAATCATTCAATAAAGTTATTGTTGTCCTTAGCTCCTGTGATATTTCACCTGTGATCAATTTTCGTAAAGTTATGGGGGTTTACTTATTGCCAATTTGGCCGAACTTGGACAAACGAAGAAAACGAGTATGCTTTTCGAAATATTTAATACTTTGCTATATTTTTGGACTTTACATAGCATATGGGGGGATGGTATTAAAAACACGAAAAAACGCACAAAAAAAACAACTCCTCTTGGTAGTTGTCAATTCGTGTGGTGTAAAGGGAGTGGTGATTGCTGTTCATGCATTTACATCTGGGTTGATGGAAACTTTTGAAGCGTCACGTTAATTAAAATTGATTTTATACAGCTTTAAATATCACGTGGTTTGGTTAACAAAATCTTAATTAAGTCTTTTTCGGCCTATTGAAACGCCCTGTATTCTGCAAGTGTTTACTACATTTCTCATATAGAATAACAGAAAAAATCTTAAAAATCTACAATTTTGTATTGGGAAACCTAATCAGGGCTATTTAACGGCTTTCCTCAAAAGAAACACATGGTTCCTGATAAAAACAAATGAGATTAATCATCAATTCAAAGAAAAATTCGGGATTTGGCAAATAAGCCGACAAGCGAAGGTCCGACATTCAATTTTTCAAAGAAATTTTTTTTCTAATTCACAAACTGAAAACAAAACAAGGCCCGGTCGCGATTCGTATCCCAGAGCTGAGGGTGCAAAGTCAATCCCGTTAACTCAAGGCCAAGTGGGAAGGAACCTGTAAAGGTTCTATAATAGAGCAAGTTCAATTTAACGATTTGCATGAAAGTTGTTTATATGAAAACACTCATTGGACATTATCACACTGTAATGAGGCGGAGCTGCGCATCACCTGCGATAAAAAAGAACCGTAATAGAACGCAGGGAAGTTTTAATTCCGCTGGGAAACTGAAATCCACTTTCGAAATTAGAAGCCGTTCGCGTTTTTCGTGACCTTTACAATTTTGCTGTTCGATAAAGGAGTTTGCCTTATTTTTAACAAAAGAAATAAACTGAAATTAAGTTGAAAGGAAATCTCAAACTTGACGTGAAAAAACTTTTTTTTCGAAAGAATACGACTGATCTTTAAAATAACACGACCTATTAAGTGTCTTAACTACGTTCATTGACACTTAATAACTAAAAAATTGTTTTGATCATGTTTTGCCCTTCACATCACAAAAAAAATTGACTAAGCCAATACCATTTTAGTTTTAAAAAATGAAGAAAAAAAATTATTCGAAATCCAAGCAATTAAATTGACAATAATAACAGGACAAAAATCAATTATAATCAGAACTGTGTAAATCGGACAGTAAAGACAGACAAAGCATAGCCAACAGACAGTTGTAAAAATTCAAGGAACACAAATAAGCAGAAAAAATCTATTTAAATTTCGTTTGTTGTTTTTCGATGGTCAAATAAAAAAATAGATGCCCTTGACGCTTTTCGAATTCCTAAAACAATGGATGATTGTTTTTTTTTTGATAAAATGATCCCAATTTGAGAAAACTCGATAAGAAAATGAAAATTTTTATTTCGCATGAATATCTGAACATTAAACTACTTTCGAAACTAGAAGTCGATCACGTTCTTCGTGACCTCAACACTTTTGCTGTTCGATAGTGGAGTTTGACTTCCTTTTAACAAAAGAAATGAACTTAAAAAGAAATCAAAAATCAAACCGCGAAAAAGAAAATTTGTGCCTAAACAAATTAAAAGACTTTTCATTAAAAGAAAATATCCAACAGGACCTATAGAAGAGTATGAACACAGGTAAACATAAAAAAAACACTGATTTCGTTGAAAAATCTCAACTTTCGAATTTCAAAGAAAAAAGATGCCCTTTAAGATCTTTGAATTCCTAAAGGAATTTATGATTGGCGCATTTCGATAACGTTAATCCAACTTGAGAAAACTGGATCAATAGGTAAAGTTTTTATTCGGCTGGAAATCTAAAAATTAAATTCTACTTTTGAAACTAGAAATCGTTCACGTTTCTTTTGCGCCATTTCCTTGTTCGTATTTGGAGAGTGCTATTTACTTTACTTTCAACAGATGAATTTCTATTGAACTCAAAAAGTGCATACATACCTAAAAGCATTAATAAATGCATGAATATGTATGAATACAAATTTGTAGTTATTAGAGTATTTTAAGATTTTTTCCTGAAAACAAAATCACCAAGACCTATATAAGAGTCATCACTAGGTTCATTACTCTTAAATAGCCCGACAACTCGTTTTTTCCCGCATACTGAAAAAAACAAGGTTCGACCGGGACTAGAACCCTAAACCTTGATGCAAAAGCAACCGCTTTGCCTCTAGACCATGTGGACAGGATCCTAGAAAGGTTCAATAATAGAGCAAGTTAAATTTCTTACAAATTTGTAAGAAAGTTGTTGGGGGTAAAAGTCTTGTTCCCGGTTAGTGTAAAATGACGAAACAGAACACTGCAGCTATGAAGCGGACTGACCTCTGATGAGTGTCTCGCACACTGAGCTGGGGAGGGAGTTGATTTCTAGTTCTGCCGCATAGATCACTGCGTCTCTCTTCACCACACTAACTTGGATGTTTTCACTGCTCACGCATATCTACAAAAAGACTGATTTAAAGTCCACATGCCAATCCGAAATAATTTATCATACCTGTACAGAGAGATATGTTTCCAGAATTCAGGCCAAAGTAATGGTAAATTGTTCGACGGAACTGATTGCCAATAAAACGATGTCTTATTAGTGCAAGGCAGAAACCAGCTTCATGGAAGTTCTTCTAACAGAGGGTAAAAAAATTAAATACACTTTTAGCTAATTGAAATGCTTTCAAAGTGCAAGTGGACGTCAATTGACAGGGTTGCTTGATTTAAATCATTAATTTAAATCCTGATTTTCATCAAAGGTTTTCCTCAGTTAGTGGCGTGATTTTCCCGCCAATTATACGCCAACTTTTACCCGCCGGTTTTCCAGTTTACTTTGTGCTTGCATCAAATAAACTTTGCCAGCCTGCAAAACTGAATAAAAATTCTCTTCTTAAACCTTTTATCGTGGTTTCTAGAGCTGAAAAATATTGAAGAGCGGGGAGTCTGAGTAAAGGAGCATATCGATTAAATCTTTATCATCATTTGGTTAAGATCCATTTCACGATACGTGTTGTACAATTTCTAAATCTAACATTACAATTTTGTCTAGGCTATAGCATAAACTTTCGTAAGCTAAAATATGTATTATCCTTGACTCAAAGTGCAGAAATCAATCCAACCAAAATTTTAAATGCTTTTTGAAAGTGTCGTTTGCTGATGAAAGGGTACTATTTCCATTGCATTTTCAGAAAAGCTAAAAACTTCTTGGTACTGAAGCTTACGATCAAAAAAGCAAAGGTTCTAAAAAAGTCTAATGAGCAGGGAACAAAATCATTGTTATCAATTGATTTTCTTCGGGTTTCGGTTCAGATTAGTACTGCATTCACTGTTCAGTAGGAGGTTCTGAGTAATACTTTAAAGTTTCTGCCTCAAAGTTAATCGTTGATTTGTATAATTATTTCAAAAACTTCTGAGAATGCGCCTGTTGTTGGGATGAAACTGTAGTTCTCTGGCAGTTCAGGGTAGTCTATCTTGTATTTTAGTAAAACAATTGCTTTTTTAACTTCTGTGGAAAGATATCGTTTTTCAGATTCTCATAAACAAGGGAACTAGGATACGGTTTACGCCGGGATAACAGTATTTTAAAGCCAATGCCGGGATGACAGACGGTCCCGGTAGTTCAATAGCATTGAGTTTAGATTGTAATGTTTTCAAGGAATATTTCAAGTTATTTCGTAGACCAAATCGGTTCGCAAAAAATTTAAGTTTTGCCAACAAGCTTTTTAAGTTATGAAAAGTTGAAATAGTTCAATTCATTATATAGACTGAATCTGGTCGAAAAAAGTTTCTTCTTAGCATGGAGGTTGCTGTTTTTAGCTGATTTGTTTCAGAATGAAACGAATCTGTAAACGCAAAACTTGGGACAAAAATTAGGCAGGTACTGTCTAGCCTTGAATTGGATCGAGTCCATTTTCCTTCCTCTGATGGTCGCTCTGAATGATTCTCAAACGTTGTGCTCGATTAAAACGTTGCGTCCTTAGCGTATTAAGACTGTAATTTTATATCAAATTTTGCAGATTTTTGTTGAATTTCTAGTAGCATTGATGATTTTGTATTTTTAGCATTTTTTTGAGCTGGATAGTTGTGATATAGAATGATCATTTTAGTTTTGGTTTATCGTGACGTGTAAACCTTGTTTATAAGGGAGCATATTTCTTTTTTAAAGGGTCAATTAAAATGGGCCCATCCATCTTGCGACGGTCCGTGCAGAGGTTGGGTAGGGCCAAACCAACGCTATATATATCGGCAAAACTTTATGAATAAATCAAATCAATTTTAAAGCATCCAGAGAATTTTCATTTAAAATCTACCCTGCTCAATAATATCACCGATGGAACTGTCTTTGTATGTATTATTAAGTTTTTGCGCCCCTGAGGCAGAGGATTGGACTCCTCAGAAGTCCTTTCATATAAAAAAAGTTTTTCGTAAAAATAGTGTACATTTGGTAAAATTGTTTCATTGATATAAACCTGTTTGAGAGAGAGGCTCTTATTGTTCATTGTGGCTGACGTCGGAGTCTGTCCAACACTTAGAGAGAAGTTCAGAGGAGTGGTAGGTTGATATGACGCTACTGGACCTCTGATAGTTCTAGAAACTGCCATGATTGACCTCAAATTTCCGAGTTCCTGGCAAAATTTAAACAAACACAAATGCCTAATTGTTGTGATAAACTTATTAAATAGTTTCATATGTTATGACTGATCCTGAGGGAACACAGCCTGCCCCCCAGCGGCTCAACTCCACATCTGGCCTTGTGACCGCTGACTACTACCCAACCGTGGATGATCTACTTCGGGCTGACGGCACTGAGACGTTCGGAAAGCTGACTGGAAAGCTGAAAAAAGACAGCATACTTTGCCTGTTGCGCGAAGCTGTTACGCAACTTCGGGAAGCTAAGTATAATCAAAATAGTTGTACTCATGCTGTTGATGCAGGGGAAGATGCCGATAAACGTCTTGATGTTATTGAAAAGAAACTTGATGTTGTTGTTGAGAAGCTTGAAAAGACCGATCCCCAATTACCCCGAATCAAAGTTTCATCTGTTTCGTCACCGGAGCTACTTGAGAAGTTGGACGAGATCAGGATTCAAGGCATACCTGAAAGCTCTGCCAATTCTGCTAACAAGCGCTTTGAGGATGATGGGAAATCAGTGACTGATATACTTGAATATCTCGAGGCAAATTCTTCTACGGGGATTCAGGAGGTCTTCCGCGTGGGAAAACCCAATACGGATCCAAATAAGCCGAGACCTGTTATAATCAAATTCAATTCTGTTTGGTCTACAAGGAAGATTCTAAGCAAGAGTTACAATCTGAAAGAGTATTGTGATGCTGTCTATATTTCCAAGTCCCTAACCAAAGCTGGCCAGGAACTTGAAAGGCAGCTCCTGAAACGACGTCGTGAACTAATCGAAGGCGGCTATGATCGCAAGCAGATCAAAATTCGTGACCTGAAGCTTTATCTTGATGACGAGTTGCAACAACTTGAGCCAAAGCAAAATTGACTAGAGAAAAAGTTATCGATTGTCTTTTTCAATTGCCAAAGTATGCTCTCTTTGGAAAGAAGATTGAAGTTTGTTAATATGTTATACAAATGGAATTGTGATATTATTTGCTTGACTGAAACCTGGTTGACCAGCACGGTTGAATCATCGTTTGTTTTCCCGTATGCTGATTACACTGTTCTTGCTCGCTCTGATCGTAAAAATGGTGAACACGGAGGTAGCCTTATTGCTATAAAGGGCTCAATTCCTTCTACGTTCCATATTCAACCGGTTGTTTGCGAATCCCCTGTTGGCTGTGCAGTTTTATTGGTTTCAGCTTCGCTCCTTATTTGCATTGCTGTCATCTATAATCCTCCCGCTTCTTCGCATTTCAGATTATCCGTTATAAGCATTAGTGAGTTTTTGGAAACTGCACATATTGCATTCAAATCTGAATGTGCTAAGCGCGGATCTCTGCACGACAGCTACTTCCTTGTCTCGGGTGATATGAATCTTCCCAATATTGACTGGTACTCTTGCTACAGCTCCTCGAGCTATGACGCAAACTTGCTTTCTTTGTTTCATGATTATGATCTAGAGCAGCACATCTTTGAACCAACACATTGCAGTGGGAGCATTCTCGATATCCTATTGCTTAACCGTGCTAATCCTGGTGATATTGAAGTTTTGGAGTCCGATTTCTCTGATCACAAGCCTGTCAGCATTACGTTTCCTACTAAATCAGACGATGAAATTCGACCAGTAGCCTACTCCAAATCCTCCTTTGACTATACTACGTTCTCCGTGATGCTTAATTCTGGTTATAATGCTCTGCAGTATGCCCATTTGTATGATGACTTCAGCGTGGTGATTTTCTCAATTCTAAATGAGAGTGTGCGTGTTTCTTCCTACCGTAAAAGACTCAAACGTCAAAATCTGCCGTTTTATTATTCTTCACATACGGTCCACCTTTTAAATAAACTTGGCACCCAGAAAAAGCGCAATCCCATGCACGATCATAGCACTCTTGTAGACAGACTAAATGTGTCAATGGAACTTGACAAGGTCTGCTTCCTGCAATCCTATGAGACTATGGACGTCAATTCTTGCTTCAAGATTTTGAAAAGCTTGAGCAATTCTTCTCCCTACCCAGGCACAATGCATTTTGCAAAAAGATCTGCTTCCACTACTATTGAGAAGGCAAATCTTTTTAATGACTTTTTTGCGTCTGTCTTCAAGACCTCCGGGGAGATTCAGATTACCAGCCTTAGTACTTCTTCTACCATTGAGTTGTGCAAGGTGTCTGTTAGTCATGAAAAAGTCTTACATTTTCTTCAGTCGGCAAATGACTCTGCTTCTGTCTGCTGTGACGATGTCCCGCCGGCTTTCCTAAAACATTGTGCATTTCAACTGAGTCCTCTAGTGGCTGCTCTCTATGAAGACATTTTAAAGCGAAAAAAGTGGCCCGATGTTTGGAAAACTGCGTACATAACTCCTCTTTACAAGAAGGATAGCCACAGTGATGTGTCCAATTATCGTCCCATCAGCCTGCTACCGAAACTTTCCCTCGGTCTGGAGCGTATCTTATTTGATTACATTTACACTAGCATTAGGCCGAAAATTACGAAATACCAATCCGGCTTTATGTCAAGGCGTTCAACTGTCACGCAACTGTTAAACTTCTGTGATGAGCTTTATAGGAATCACGAACTTGGTATTTCGTCTTTTGTTTTTTATGTGGATATCAAAAAGGCGTTTGACTCGGTTCCTCACCATAAATTGCTCAAAAAACTTGCGGATTTCGGTTTGGATGTTAGCTTTCTCCAATTACTTAAAAGTTATCTTTCTGGACGCTTTCAACGTGTGCGAATCAATGGTGTGCTCTCTGATTTTGTGAGCATTATGAGTGGTGTCCCGCAAGGTAGTATTCTGGGGCCGTTATTGTTCTTGTTATTTGTGAACGATCTTCCTGATTATCTCTTATCCAAGCCATCCCTCTTTGCTGATGATCTGAAATGCTGCAGTACCTCTGTTCCCGTACTTCAACGCGATCTAGATGCTGTTATCAATTGGTGTGGCGAAAATTCTCTCGATTTACATCCTGACAAATGTAAAGTCCTGAAGTTTTTTAACCACAGCTCTGAAAACCCAGATCTCTATATTGGTGATCACAAAATCGATGAATCTTTAGACGTCAAAGATCTTGGGATCATTTTCAGTTCTGATTTATCGTGGTCGCACCATGTTTCTGAAAAGTTATTCAAGTGCAACAAAGTGTACTTTATGTTAAAGCGAAATGTTCCGAGCAGTACTCCGAGACAAACGAAGGTTCGGCTCTACAAAGCATGTATTCTATCTGTGCTTACTTATGGTTCTTCTATCTGGATACCTAACAAGACCGACTTATCCAAGCTCGAAGCTTTCAACAGAAGATGTGTGAGATGGATCGGTCTGTCAGGTGATTATAAAACGTCACTGATAAAGTTAGGAATCTATCCTCTGCCATATCATATTGAAATCTCAAATCTTCTGTTTTTCCATAAACTGTTTCAGGACAAGTACGATTTAAACCCCTTCGATTTTGTTGATATAAATGACCCATCTGTATCATTACGGAGTGTTGATATATACTCTTTCAAATTAAAGAAGCGAAAATACGAGAAGACAAAGTCCTTTTATTTTGACCGTATTCCTAGACTATTGAATTTCATGAAGCTTGATGTCCGTCTATCATTCCCCCGGTACAAGCGTGAAGTTATGAAGTTCTATGATACGAAGCTACGTCAAACATTCGAAGAAAACATTCCGTGTACTTGGTATGGAAAGTGCTGCTGTACCTTCTGCCGGTCATAGTTTATTTTATATATTTATATTTTTTTTTTCGTTTTATGTTTGCATTTCATTATTTGTGATTGTAAACTCCCCACGGGGTAAATTAAGCCTTCCTCTCTCTCTCTCTCTCTCGACAGGAATTAGTGGGCAAAGCCTTATTATTACATTTGTTTCCTGGGGTCTGTTCAAGATTATGATCCTCTGATATTAGGCATTTTCCGCAATCAAAGAACCGAAATAGAAGAAACACTTTAACTACTATACAGAATAGTCAATGTAGAAGCCACAGAACAAAAATATAGAAGCCACAGAGGAAGCTACGGGGCTATTCGACTGTGCGATACGCCCTTGGAATAACTCCGAAGTCCACAAACTACAAAAAGAGGCTGACAAGCTTTACAGACACATTTGGAGCAATAAAAAGAAACAATCGTTATAACAAATGGCCGAAGAACACATGAACATGAACGGAGTAACAGTATGTGAAAATCTGAAAGTTAACAGCATCAGAATGAAGATTGAAAACAGAACCCTACGGAGAATCTGACACGTGTTGCGAATGGATAACACATGGCTAACAAAACAAGTAGTTTTAGGGTGGCCCGGCAAAGAAAGAAGTCCACCACAAAACTTCTAGAGACAAACAACCATCAGCTACTGGAGAAAGTGAAAGACAGGAAAAAGTAACGAAACATTGTGGAAGCCAGAGACAGTAACCTTCAGGCATGGGAGGAAGAATAAGCGGACCGGAAAGAGGTCTCTCCGAGAATCCAATTCGAAGATACAATGAAACTAACCTGCAACACGTGCAATCCGAAATGTCGACCAAAAGCGGGCTAAAAAATCCACAAGACCACAAAACATAGAACAGATAGAGCGGATTTTGCAACGGTAACTGCACAAAGAAATCACACCAATCGATACTTGCCCGCTCTGCAAACGCCCAGTCGAAATGCACTCTGGCGAGGCATTGAAGAACATGCAGAGCGAGACCTCCACAAAGCTCCCCCGCCAAGGGAAAGAGAAGGAAATACCTGGGGCGCACGAAAGATCTGCGACATATGTAGCGTCAGCCAGTCAGCGATCAATTACGCACGACATCGTGAAAGATGTGAAAGCAAAAGCTTAGCCTAATTGTTGTGATAAACTTATTAAATAGTTTAAGATTCATGACTGGCTCACGGGATCGACTACCCAGCTCGACATCAACTAGCTGCTGTTCTCACTGCTCATCTACAGTGAAACGGAAGGACAAGGGTCTCCAATGTGACCGATGTGATGACTGGTTTCATCTATCCTGCACAACAGTACCCTAGCACTTGTACGAGCATCTTCCTTCTGTGTCTGGGATTCTCTGGGTGTGCAGCAATTGCCTTACTACAGCAAAACAACTTCTCAAAGGTAAGTCTGATCCTCATTCACTGAATTATTTATCGAGAAAAACATGTCAGAAACCCTGAAAAATGTGGTACAATCAAGTATTTCACCCGCGCTCAACGAGATTAACGACAAGCTTGACCTGAGTGCAGAATTGGTTTCTCAATTATGGGAACCAAGTGAAGACGGTGCTGATGTTACCAATTCAGGACATCTGACGACACTTGCAGAAAATGTCGTTACCAAACCTTCTTCTGTTCCTTATCGTCCACTCGGAGTGAATAATCCAGACTTTGAATACGAATAGCAGGTTATTGGTGTTAAAGAAAGCACAAATAAGTTTTCCTTAGAACGACAACTGAAAGATAAAACCAGCGTTGATAATGTCATTAGTGACCTTGGAGTTAATTGTCAAATTCGTGACTGTCATCGTCTTGGGAGATTCAGCGATGGCAAAAATCGACCGCTTCTAGTAACTGTTAACTCTGTTTGGGACTCACGCTTGTGTCGTAGCAGAGCCATTGAGCGGAGATACTACAAAAGCTCTGGCATTCTTATTCTTCCAGAATTGTCAGACAACGATAAAGTAATTGAAAAGGCTCTTCTTCGAAAGCGATTTGAAATGCTCAGCAATGGTCATGGTAAATCACGTTTGAAAATCCGCAACCTCAAATTATATCTTGACGGCAATATTGTTGAAGTCGGAAATTGACTAACCCTAGCTTCAATCAACGTCAGAAGTATTCTTTCCCTCAACAAGAGACTCCGTTTAACTAGTTATTTATCATTACAAAATCACACGTTTGTTTGTCTTACAGAAACATGGCTGGATTCTTCGTTTACCCAAAGTTTAACCCTTCACACATCCTACCGAGTATTAGCTCGCCGTGATAGATCACATGGAATTCACGGCGGTACAGCTATTCTGTCCAGCTGCGGCGTGGCTAGCCGGGAGCTTTTAGGTACATCCGACTTTGGCTGTGCAACTATTGTCCTTTTTCATGTCCCTCCCGCTCGCAATTATATGTAACTATAATCCTCCGTTTAATAGTGCATACCGTCATAAAAACGCCGATTTGTTGATCTTCCTGGATTCAATCCTGAAGCGTTTACCAAACCAGTGGCACATCATAGTTAGCGGGGACTTTAACGAACCTCACGCCTGTTGGACGACTTTTGACAGCAACACAGGTTTTTCAGAGTTTCTGTTTCAAAAGAACTTGTGTCCGCTGGTTAGCTTCCCTACACATATTTCTGGAAATATCCTTGACCAAATTTTGCTGACGTGGCCTCTACAGATTGCTACGCTCATACGGTTGATTTTTCTGACCATTTTGCTGTAACGTTGAGGTTTGAACTTGATGGAGTATTAAATTCAAACATGCTTACGGAAACCATGAATATCCCTAGTTCGTCTTTTTTGGATCTGAAGCTGATATTCTCAACCGCTTTGTTTTCGTTACTAAGTCAACAGAGGATTCTCTGTATACTGACTTTTGGTTTTACCAGTTTAATCAACTACTCCTCCCCTTCTTCAAGAGGAAACGTTCTAAACGCCTTACTTATCCTTCATACTACTCATCCATTACTGTCCATCATCTCAACAAGTTACATACGGCTCGAAAGGCACATAGTGAGTCCGTGACGCAGCTTGAACGCGACTGTGACCGATTTAATGAGCTCGATACGTTTCTTTTTATCAATAAGTTTACCTGCACTGATCTACAAGGCTGTTTCAAGTTGATCAAACTGCTCAACAACACGGGAGACATTGCTGGATTCGTGCTTAGACAAGACACGCCAGTATACAAAGATACTGAAATCGCGGAGGCTTTCAACGACTACTTCTGTACAGTATACAACCTAATATGACATCCACAATTGATTTCTCCGACAATGAATTGAACCACGTTTCTTTCGGTGGACAGGAGATTGAAAATGATCTCGCAAATGTGTCACTTGGCTTTGGCGTTGACAAACTTCCGGATTCTTTCTTACGGCATGCAGCAGCCCCGTTATCTATTCATGTATCTCTACTGTTCAGTTCTATTTTGTCGTCTTGTGTTTATCCTAGCAACTGGAAACTTTCCTATGTTTCACCTGTGTTCAAACACGGTGACCGTACTTTCCGTCTCCTCATATCGACCAATAAGTATTCTACCTAAATTATCGCTGGTATTTGAGATGCTGCTCTACAGACATCTGCATGACTTCATCGAACGTAAGATTCACCAAAATCATTTCGGCTTCGTCGTCGCCACTCAACAGTCACTCAATTGATAACCTACCTTGACAACGTTTCACGGAAACTTGATGAAAACGAAAACGTGTGTGCATTTTTTATTGACTTAAGCAAGGCCTTTGACATGGTGCCTGACCACATTCTGCTCCGAAAGCTGCGTGATTTTGAATTGGCGGTAGATTACTCAAGTTACTTTCAAGTTATCTAAGCAATCGACGCCAGTGTACTAAAATTCCGAAATGCGTGTTTAAGTTTTAAGCAGGTTTATAGTGGCGTGCCCCAAGGTTCAACTCTAGCGCCATTTCTATTCCTAATTTTCATTAACGATCTCCCTGATTCTTGTATTGAAGAAAATTTTTGGTAAAACAGCTAACATTTTTGGTAGGTACGTAGGTGACATCTTGCGTTCGGTCAAGGTTGCTGAGATTGATCACCTGTTATCATATGTGAATACACTACATCCAAACCTTGAGTTCACGATAGAATTACAGCTCAATGGAACGCTTCCTTATCTCGATATGCTTATTAGACAGTCCGGCCGTACTATCAGCACAGAATGGTACAGCAAACCTACAGACACTGGACTCACCCTTGGGTTTCACGCCTGTGCGCCAAAAAAATACAAGAGAAACATTGTTCAGGGCACCGTGCACAGAATTGATCACTCCACTTCAACTTGGGAGGCCTTTGATAAAGGTTTGAGGAAAGAAAAAAATGATTGAGAAGCAAATCAGTTTTCTCCGGCTTTTTATGAAACCATAGTGACAAATTCTCTTCTTAAACTCAAGGAAAACCAAAACACGACCACACAAGCAACAAAACCAATTCAATATAGCCTGAAAGTAACGAGAAACCAGTTATCCGGCTCCAGTATCGAGGAAAAGTGTCTGATATTTTCGCGAAAAGGCTGCAAAACTGTGGTATTTCTACAATATTCACGACCCGCAAACTCAGAACCTGTCTTCCCACTTTGAAAACAGATTTCCCTAGGTATTTGACGAGTAGGGTGTTTTATGAGATATCTTGTCCAGGATGCAATTCCTGCCATGTTGGAAAGACCGTCCGACACCTGATCACCCGAAAAATTGAACACCGTAGGGACTCTGCCCCGGTGGGTAGTCATCTAAAGGAATGCGGAGCAGACAAGGCTGCAGTTGAGGCGAGAATTTTGGACAGATGCTTAGACACGAATAAAACGAATAAACGTTTGACCATAGAAAGGCTTCATATTTCGAGGAGAAGACCTGCCCTCAACACGCGCGAGGAATACCGGCAGAAGTACCTCACAGTCAAGTTGTGAGGTTTTTTAAGTCCGTTTGTTTTAGTCACATGACTAACTCGGATCTTAACTGATCTATTTTTATATTCTTTTTAAAGTTAGTTTTTATATATTTTTTGTAATTTCTACACATCCAATTCCATTCCGGTTTTACAGGCGACTTGTTTTTTAGATTGGCTGATGATGACTTTTATGTCAAAACGTTTCTGGAATTTATTTTACATTGATCTGCCGTTTTTACTCATGTATTAACAGCCTCCTGTACTTATTTGCCGATGATTCGAAAGCAGCATCTACGTCCTTGCAGCTACTAAAAAGTGACCTCGGTAGCTGTATTTTGTGGTGCTCCGAAAATGAGATGGTGTTCAACGAAAAGAAAACCCAGTTTATCATTTTTGGCAGAACTCGGGTCGAGGAATGTTTGTTTTTCAACACCTGTCCCCTGATTCCTGACGGCAAGGTTAAAGATCTCGGACTTATCCTGCATTTTGATCTAAAATCCAGCCATCACATCAAAAATCGATCGGGATTTAATTACAGTATGTTTTTTGCTCTCAAACGCAGTTTGCCTTTCTCTCTCTCTTTAGCCACCAAAACGAACTTGTTCAGATCCTATATTTTGTTATCCTTGTTATATGCATTGTGACATTCGCTCAGAATGGACGAAAATGCAATTTCAAATTGATAGCCGCTGACCTGGAGAGTTGACAGTTTTAGAAGATTAGCAACGTTATTTGATTGGTTAGACGAATCGTGAAGGTCAGAAGATTCTGGAATTTTTAAAATTTAAAAACTCGAATGGTGACGTCACACTTCTGAGAAACGTCGAAACGGCCATTTTTTGAAGAAAATCAGAAAGAAAACACAACAACGATAATTGCGATAGAAATAACGACGAGAAATAACAAGACAGAAAACAGAGAAGTATCAGAGACCGCTCCGAGTTGTAGCGATTGTGTCGCTACAATCGATACAAAGCAATTCACGCAAACGGTGAAGGGTGGTGGAACAGTGAGTCCAGCCTAAGAGTGTTTTTTCCTCGGATTCAGGAATCCGGAGGGGACTCGAGACTTGAACCTAAACTATTTTATACGACTTTTTAGCTTCCTGGTCATGCCCTGAATTGAATTCAATTAACATTCAGATTCATTTTCAGATAATGCGAAGCAAGGAGTTGAGGGAAAGGGTTGATCCATCTTTGATGGAGATGATTTTTATCGACTGAGCAAAATCAATAGAAATATAATAAATAGTAGTAG